CCACGTTGGGCCAGGCTGGTCTCGAGCTCATGGCCTCAAGTGATCTGCCTGCCTCAGCCTCCCAAAGTGCTGATATTACAAGTGTGAGCCACCACGCCTGGCTGCACCCCCCAATTTAATTATTATAAATTACTCTGGTAATCTGGTAAAATGTCATTCTAGCTTGCTAGTAATTATGTAAGTGTTAAATCTGCAGAATGTATTATTCTCTTTTGCTCAAGCCTACTCTTATAAAATAAACTATATCTAGCCAGGTGTGGTGGCTCACGCCTGTAATCCCAGCACTTTGGGAGGCCGAGGCGGGTGGATCACAAGGTCAGAAGATCGAGACCATCCTGGCTAACATCTCTACTAAAATACAACAAATTAGCCAGGCGTGGTGGCAGGCACCTGTAGTCCCAGCCACTCGGGAGGCTGAGGCAGAAGAATGGCATGAACTCAGGAGGCAGAGCTTGCAGTGAGCTGAGATCACATCACTGCACTCCAGCCTGGGTGACAGAGTGGGACTCCATCTCAAAAAAAATAATAAAAAATAAAATAATCTATATCTATCTATCTATAGAGAGAGTTAAATATGCTGAATTTTTGGGCTTACATGTTATAGGTAATTTTAGAAGTGAATTTGTATAATGTCAGATATTTTACTTTAGATTTGTAAGATACTTTGGGTTTGCCACTTCAATATAGAGCTCATGATCTCTGATAATTATCAGAAATGGCCGACTAGGCACAGTGGCTCATGCCTGTAATCCCAGCACTTTGGGAGGCCAAGACTGGAGGATCACCTGAAGTCAGATGACCAGCCTGGCCAACATGGTGAAACCCCGTCTCTACTAAAAATACAAAACTAGCTGGGTGTGGTGGCACACACCTATAATCCCAGCTACTCAGAAGGCTGAGGCAGGAGAATCACATGAACCTGGGAGGCAGAGGTTGCAGTGAGCCAAGATCACACCACTGCACTCCAGCCTGGGCAACAGAGAGGGACTCCTTCTCTAAATAAATAAATAAATAAATAAATAGCCTACTATGTAATGGCTGGGGGCACGGTGGCTCACACTTGTAATTCCAGCACTTTGAGAGGCCGAGGAAGGCGGATCACTTGAGGCCAGGAATTC